ACCTCACCCCCTCCTACACTGCACCTCCCACCCAGACCCTGCACTCCTATCCCTATCCCATTCACTGGCAGCCCTGTCCCACACACTTAATGTCTCATTTTTGGCCCCAACTCAGAGCTATGGGGGGCCCACAAAAATCCACTAACTCTAGAACCTCTGAGACCTTGTACCTCAGTCCTCCCTGCCCCTACCCCTATTATGGGACTGGAGCACCAGGGGAGTGAGGTGTTTCAGCTGGGGGTCACATCAGTGAGGCTTGGGGGTTTTTGGAAGGTGCTTTTTTTTTTTTTTTTGGACTTCTCACTTGTGTGATCCCCAACTCATTTTTTTTCTATGGGGCAGTGGCTGCCGACGCAAAAAGTTCCTCCACTCTTGCCATAAAGACAGACAATGTTGAAACCTTGTGTTGGACATAATATTAGACTATTTAAAAAATGAAGCCTGACCAATAAGCCCTCAATTGGGGCCCAGTCCCCAACTGGCTGCAACACAACGCTCCTACACCCCAACCCTGAGCTCATCATATCCCCACATCCCCTAACTCCTGCACCCCCACTTCTCCTGCCATAATATGCCTACACCCCCAACCTTGTGCCCTGAGTCCCTCATTCACCCCAACCCCCACATCTAGCCCCCACCATAAGATTGACAGAAGACAGCCCAAATGTGTGCATGCAGCTGGATCTGACCAGTTATGATATAAACTTCAAAGAAATGTGCAAAGAGACGCAGCAGAAGTCCCATTAAATAAAGTCTGATGTTTCATTTATGCTGTTATTAATGATCATATCAATTAATAATAAGTTGTATATTCTCAGTCCTGCAAATGGGCACTCTTACACGGCACTTTGTTGAACACTTGTTCTGAAATTTTATATAGTTTGGTTCTTTGGTGTGAAAAGGTTGCCGACCCCTGCCAGAGTCTCCTAGGCTAGACAGGGCCTGAATTTCTCAGACAATAACCAGGGGTGAAAGAACAAAAAAACCCTATATTTTCCAAGAGCAGGATAATTTCAGCCTTTCTATCAACTGCAAAGCAGCAAAGAAAGGGTACAAAGCCCATTTTTCACCATTATCTTTGCAGGCTGATGCTGGGAAGTTCAAGGTTACATGTTTAATGTTCTGTTCAAATTCTTTCCTCCCTTCTCCAGCCCAGGGCTGTAATACTGCATCAGGAACCTAATCTCAAAGTAGCAGCACTGATATAAATACCACCATCCAGTCATCTCCATACAGTACAGCAGCAGCACAGTGGGGCACCGAGGATGCTCCTGAGCTCAGAAGGAAGACAGCAAACCCCCAATTTCTTAGCCTCCATTCAAGCAACTGCCTCATTATACTCCTGCTTAGCTTCAAGATTAGACAACACAACTGCTTCCGGGAGCCAGCTCAGCTAATGACCTTGATGAAGAGAAGCCACGTGACAGAGCTGCTCCCAATCTAACGTGTCCCAGTGCAGTCAGTGTCACTGCAGGGACAGAGCACACGCAAAGGCATCATCTCCACTGACATTGTGAGCTGGCCGTAGCGCACACAGCCCAGAACTTGCATGTACCTGAAGAGGTACCGGGTGAATTCAGCTACATGAACCGAGCATTTAAGTAGTGCAAATTAACAGAGGGAACTTTCTCTTGTCCTCTGGTTTCAAACTCAGTTCCTCATTCTGACCATCAAATAAAAGCTACAGGGAACCTAATCCTGCTCTCATTTTTACCAGGACGGCACTACAATCAATGCAGTTACACTGCCAAAACAATTGGGAGGGAGAGAGATGCAAGAGACAGGTAGTCCTGGGAAGACTTGCCTATCTCCTCTGTGGCACTGTCTTAACCAGGATTTGAAGGATGGTGTGCATTAGGGATATTAAAATGTGTGTAATTGTCTAACTGTGTAACGCTGATAATTTCAGTAGTTACATGGGGAGGCAGTCAGCTCAGTGCGAATTAAGCCAGCTCCTGGTACACACCGGCTGCCACTCCATGCTACCGCCTCTGTATCAGCCAGCTTTTAAGCCAGCTCCCCATGCATAGTGGCTCCTGCTTGCTGTCCCACTCCTAAGAAGCCAGCTACTGCCCACACTGCTGCCTCTATATCAGAGACAGCAGCACAGGGTGGCAGCTGGTTCCTGGGAGCTGTGTGTAACCGGTAAGCATGGGTTATCTGTTTAAACGGCTACCCTCTTACATCTCTAGTGTGAGTACATCAGCTAGGCTGCCTGCTAGACTTTAGCTCAACCAGCTAGCAGACACTACAGCTGGCATGGTCTTGTCCACACTAGGCTTTCTGAAGACGGTGGCTAATATCAACATCATACCACCCACCCTAATAGAAAAACTCAACGGCCCAATGGTGATATGCAGGGATGTCAAGGAGGACATGGGATGTAATGATACTCCTAGTGGCTTGCACTGGCTAGGTTCAGTATGGGGGCTAAATCACCAGGTGACCTTTGCTCTTCCAAAGGAGTGAAAAGGGTTCCAAATGGATCAAGAGCTGAAGTAAAAGCTACATTTGCACTAGAACCCTGCCCAGAAGAAAACACTCAAATAAGAGAAAACAAAACTCAGGGAGGCAAACCGCTGTGTCTCACATCCTGTTTATAGCAGCTCCCATCTGCTGCTGCAATGCCATCCCTCCACCCACTATGGCAGGGTATGTGCAATGGTGACATGGCAAGAACTGAGACCAAAGAGGAAAAGCTTTCACAATCTGAGACAAGTTACAGAGTGAGGTTAGGGATATGAAAGACTGAGGCACCCCTGCAGCAAGCCAAGATGGGGATTAGGGATGGGCTGGACTTCATGACCTCCTGAGGTCTCTTCCAGCTCTATGGTTCTATAATGTTAAATATCGGTTAACTGAATAGTCAAGTAACCTCATGAATTCTTATTGGTTACTTGACTGTTCTATAGTCCCCAGGGGTGGGGCTGACAGCAAGAGCGCACCAGCCTCACTCCCAAGGAGACCCTTGCCACTCTGCGCTGCTGCCTCTGTATCACAGACAGCAGTGTGGGGTGCCAGGCAGGAGCCAGTCCATGATGGGAGCTAGTTTAAAAACCAGCTTCCCTCACAGACCATATGCCTGTCACCCCACACTGCTGCCTCTGTTACAGAGGCAGCATCCCCTGTCTGAGGAGAGGGCCTGAGCTTCTGGATCCAGCACAAGCAGGAACTGAGCTGGGCTGGGCTGCCTGCCTGGCTTCTAATATACTTTAAATGCAGAATTGCAGCAGAGGTAGGTCCGGGACCCAGTGCAAGCCAGGACTAAGCCAGCCTGCTGGCCAGCCTGCTGGGGAAAAAAAAAAAAAAAACACTTACTGGTGGAGGGGAGGGAAATGCGTGTAGTCTATAGCATTAATCTCTAAGCTTTTGCTTATCGGTTAATTGACTACACTATTACATCCCTAATGGGATTCTTCCCTGCATCATAACTGCTCCCTACACTGACATTTATGGTATTCCTACAGACTGACCAGATCAGTGTGAAATCAGAATTGCCCCCTCCCCTTGGGAAGGACGATGCTAGGCACACCTAGAGCAAATGTGGTCAGAATTGTGCCCCTCTCCCCCCACACACACTCCTTTGTATCCCACTCTGGAGTCCCCATCCTCCCGGTATGAACCTCCATCCTGTCCTTCAGTTAGTTGTGTCCCCTTCTTCTCCCTTGCCCAGGTGCACTCAGATGCCTCAGGTGGAGCAAGTAATAGGTTATGAACCTCACCTACCTTCAGTGAGCAAAGGTGCTGCAGCTTGTGGGATCTCCCCCACCTTCCCTATCTGAGCACGCTGAGCACCGGCCCCAGAAGGCTGGGGCAGTGACGGTTCTGATGCACTCCCAGGTACAGCACCCCCAGCCTTGAAGGGGTTAACTTTGGGCTTAGGGGCAACCACTGGGGCAAACTTCTTCTGCGGGCTGTAGAAACTTGGAGTGGAAATATTGATGCTCACTGTGGAAGTCATGCGAGTCCCTGGGCTACCGGATGACGCCATCTTGGGGCTGGCTGCTCAGCACCTGAGGGGCAGGAGAGTGGAGAGACAGATATGAGATTAGACATGACTCTGCCTTGGTTTTCCCCTGCAAATGAATCTGGAGAAAGGCACAGAAGGAAGCAGAATTGGAGGGCAGGTGCACCTGGGTGAGATCTGAGGGGCACAAGTGGAGCTCGGGGTGCCCTGAGCACTGGGAGACGGAAATAGGTTTTGAAGCAAGACATGCCGTCTGACCCGGAGGCAAAGCCTCAACAAGCGCTGCAGGGATGCAGGGCAGGAACAACTGGCCGAAGCACCAATAAATTCTCTCCACCTTCAATCCTTTGCTGAGTGGGGGTAACAAGTCAGAGCAGATAGAAGGACAAAGCAGGGATCAATTCAGGAGAGAACTGCAGGAGAAGCCAGCCTTCTGCACACAGCTCAGATGCCCACACCTCACACTGGAACCTCCCCTTCTCCCCCCTCCAGAAGCCGCTTTAGCATCTCTCAGCTCACCCCTCCCCCCCCATGTCCTCCTGCATCCTCCAGCCCATGAGAGGCATGGCACCACGGCATCCCTGCTAACTCTGTCCATCCAGACCTCTCCTCCTGCAGCCCCGCTCCTGCCCTTTTACCTGCAAACCCCCAGCCCTCTCGGCTCAGCGGGGAAGCTCCAGCAGCTGCAGCACCAGCAGAACAAAGGGAAGGCTGGGCGATTCCATAGTGTCACACATTCCTCAGCCAGGCCCTGCGACTCACTGTCCTTTCTGTCTTGCTGTCCCTTCCTGTCATTGTGGCAATGGGCAAGGACTCCTACAGCCTCCTCACTGGCTACAAAGGCTGCCGGCCCTGCCTCCACCCCTTCCTGCAGGAGGCGGCTCCTGGATCCAGCCAGCCTCCCTGACACATTGCTAGAGCCATTCCCTCCCAGCCCCTGCTGTGTAGCTGCTGCTCTAAAGCCAGCACATCAAGCTTGCTGTGCTGTACAGCGCTTTCCTGTTTGCCCCAGGACATGCTCACAGCTCCATCCTGCCAATGGTACCTCACTGCAGAGAGAACTGCCTATTTCCCATCCCAGTCATGTCCTGAAAAACAAGTTCTCCGCGCCGCACATGGCAAACCTGAAACTCCTTCCCCATCTCCCCTCCCGCCAGGGATCAATGCCAGATTTGCCCTTAGGATATTTCCAAACTCACAACATCCAGGAGCTATTGGCCATCTCCTGATAAGAGCCCACATTGCTGAGCTTTCCCCTATGCTGGTACCCAGCCCAGAGCGCTTGCCTGCACTAAGCAGCTTGTCATGCTGACCACACACAATAATGCTCCCATGGCACACAGGGTAAGTATGCCAGCATGCAGAGTTAGTTTGTTTTGAACAACATTCTTCTACAGTGCCTGCCTCTGCACAGTCAGCATGGATGAGGATGGGCTGCCTCACTGGAGTGGTTAGAGCAAACAGCCCTGTGACAGTTATTCCACAGTACTGCTATCACTAGGGCCACAAACAAGTTCTCCAAGTTGTAAAGTACCTGTGAGATCAAGATAATTTGCCTTAGTTGTTATTTTGGTAGATCCCTACAAATTCACAGATATCTGCATTCATGGATAGGGGTAGCTGCAGATCATTTTTGCAGATATGGATGCTGGTACACATTTTGTATCTAGAGCCCTGCAAATTAACTACTTTATATTTGCTGATCATTTCTGCAGATGTGGGTATCAATTCTGTATCCCTGCAGGGCTGTGCGTGTTGAAATAATCCTCACTCACCCTCCCCTACCATAGCCCCAGAGAACTCTCTCATATACAACTGAAGGGCAGGTTAGGGAAGAAGGGTCATCAGCATAGACCACAAGATGCTTCCCCCCTTCCCCAGGTCAGTCCATAAGGATGCTGAAGAGCAGGTTACCAAATTTTAAGCCAAAAAATGGCCTTATTATCGTGACCTGCATAACAGACCATCCTCCCTCACACAGTGATCCTGCTTCTGTTGGAGCTAAAGCATGTCATTTTGAAAGATATCCAGTCTTCATTTAAAGACTAAGTGATAGCAAACGCACTATGCCCTTGGTAAACTGTTCAAATAGTTAATCACTAGCCATTGAATCTTCTTATGCCTGTACCTGCTTGTTTCAAGAAACTGCCATTAGAATCTTTTCCTGTGTAGGTACTTGAAGATCACAGCCTAGTCTCCACATGATCACACTTTATAATGGAGCTGGTCTTTAGAGAGATGGAGTATGGGACATCAGCTGCTTCATGCAGATACGTTAGGGTCATTGCCAGCAGCTGTTCCCATCTCCCTGACCCCAGAGCAGCCTCCTTCCCCCTCCTTCCAATACACATACATTTATCTAGGCCAAAGCTTCTTTCTCCTCACAGCAGCTTTCCACCTGCAGCTGCCCCTGCCTGTCCCAAGTTCTGCTTAAAAAGCAGCAGGAAGGCATCTCTTCTGTTTGTCCACCAGTCACCCTATTAGAAGGAAGGGAGTATGGAGCTGCCATGGATCGAAGCCTTCCTAGCATGCCTTTAGACTGATCCACCTCCTCTATGGTCTCCCCACAGTTCTACTATGGTGTACAATTACTGAGGGAATGCCACTTAGGCAGGCCTGAGCCCGATTTAGTTATCAAGCCTCCCACAAAGGAAGAGATCTTCTGACATCTACAATAATCAGAAGATTCCACACAGCTGTAGAGCAGGGCTATTGAACATGTAGCCTGCACTGTGGTTTGGGTTTACATGGGGCTCAACACACAGCCAGTGGTTGGAATCCTTTTAACATGGCTTCCACTGGGAACACGCGCCATAGTGGCGAGATGTCTCCCAGGAGGGGTAAGCATAGAAAGATGCAAACGGATGGGCTGGCTGGAACAGACAGGTACAGGGTGTCAGTGTTTCTAGCCCCCAGGGAGGAGGTGCAGGGAGCACTGGGGCATTTTGGGAAAGAAGCTATTTGCATATATATTTGCATGTATATGCAACCATGCTTAAGTTGCATTCCTCAGCATGTGCTGTGAGTATCATTGGGGCCCCCAGGGCATCCAAAGTTGAGTAGCCCTGGGCTAGAGGAAGGTTGCACCAAAGCCAGAAATTGAGATTTAGAGCCTTTCATTGGCTATAGCTGCACTGGTTACATGAAAGCAATCTCTTAAGGCCATCACAGATTGCTCTATTTTTGATGTAAGTCCTGACCTAAGCCATACTTACTGGGTGACATACCTGGCTGGGTTGATTTAGTTGGAATTGGTCCTGCCTTGCTTGGGTAGGGGGGTGGACTTACTGACCTCCTGAAGTCTCTTCCAGCTCTATGATTCTATGAAAGGGAACCAACCAATTCTCAGTCTCAGGTGTGTGACCCCAGGACCTGAACTTCACTGGCCAATCTTCACTGTACCCCACCCAGGAGCAGAGAATGGAAAGCAAAGGCAGGGACCTACCCCAATGTTCTCCAAAATGATTCCTTCCCTAGGGAGGATCCCAGCTCAGAGCAAGCAGGCAGTATTTGGGTGGGAGGGGGCTTTTGTTTCACAATCCAGTAACTCTGGCATGAAGTCACCCACCTCCTCCAAATGAAAAATGAAGGGGATGTGCTATTAAAATATGAAGTGAAAGAAACTGATTTACTTCAGGTTTTTTTTTGGGGGGGGGGTTGTTCTTTTTTTCCCCCCAGTTAAACAGAGTCACATGTGTTTCCACCCCATCAAACTCTGGTTAATCCTGCAAAGTTTGCTTGGATAGCAAAAAAACAAACACACCACGCACAAACAAACAAAAAAAACCCACCCTGAGTCCCTGCAACAGCAAAGTCCTTTCTTTTTCAAGCAACTGGTGTTTCTCCACTCAATCTCCACCCCACCCCCACCCATTCCTTTGCCTAATGACTCCTACTTCCCCTTCCCCACCAGAAAGTTCATTTCCAGGCATGTAAATTGTAGTCAGGGATTGGACCGGGGAAAGGGGAACTTTCAAAGCCAGGCCTGGAGTGAATCTGTAGCAGTCACATAACTGCACACCCGCGTCTCCCCGTTCCTCGCTACACAGCACGGCAAGAAAGAAACATGCAGACATATTGCAAGCGCCAGACAGTCACAAATTTGCAGGCACTCACCTCCCGTCTCTTCAGATCTCCTCCCCGGCAGGGCAGAGGAGACATGAAGGAGTCTCGAAAAGTTTCGGATTCTTTCCCCACCCAAACATCTGGAAAAAGGCTCTAGGGGTCTCACTCACACAGCAGCGTCTCGACTCGGCAGCGCGCCCTCCCCGCCCCCGCGGGCTGCTAGTTTTACAAAGGGAAGGAGGCGATTTCTTAGGTATTTCATTTCCACGGGGCGGCTGGGGGCACTTACCCGCCAGCCAAGGGTTGGCAACTTAGTCAGGCTTTCAAAAGTATGAGGCTCCCCCGGAAAAGGAGACAGAGACGCCAAGTCCATAAAGTTAACGCTAACTAGAGCGGCCCAAGCTGTGCCACCAGCACCGACCGCGCACACAAGAGCAGGTTCAGCCTCGCAGCCCCAGGACGTGGGGCAGGAAACTAGAGGGAGGGGAGCTTTCCTGCTGCCAAAAAACCGCATTTAGTTTTTGAGCATAAAGTTACAATAAAACTAGGAGGCAACGAGCTTCAGCCGGGACTTTTGCCCAAAGGAAGCGGGAGGAGAGGGGACTCACCTCTGGGGAGGAGCAGGCTGGGTCTCTTGGACTAAAAGTTTGTAGCTGCCTGTAAAGTCTCTAGTGCTGCTAGCACGCAAGCCCAGCCCCACTCCGCCCTCCCAGCGCCTGGGCGTGCCGCGCTCTGCCCCCTGCACAGCGATCAGAACCAGCTTCGGTTGCTTGTCTGCCAAATCGGGAGGGGGAAGGACTTGGAGGAGGGGGGACTACAGAGCCCAGGACTTCCTAGCATCTCGCAAAAAGGCCTCGCCCAAGCAAAGCTGTGTGACCATAAAAGGAGAGAGGCTGCGCGAACAGCTGAGCTCACTCACCAGGGAATGTGGCAATGAGGTAAGAGGAGGAGGAGGATGAATACACTAGACAGGACTGTTGAGAGACGAGTGGGGGAGAACAGCAACGCTCTCCCTCTTACAACCAGCTCTCGTTGCCCTTCCCCCTGTGTTGTGAGGGGAGGGAGGTGTCAGCTTTCCCTCCTATCGCTGCTATGGGAGGCCTGTATTTCATACCCTCCCTGCTTTCCTTCCACTCCTGGATTCCCTATTTCCCCCGAGATTTGCCGGCCTTGCGGCTCAGTCTTGATTCCCAGCCCCTTCCACTCCACTCCTGTCTTCCCTTCAGCTTAGGCAAAGCCCCTCAGTTAGGCGCCCCCGCACGCTTGTGTTTTATCTCTTGCCCCAGCGCTGGGTTGCCTCCGCCTTCCCCAACTTTTTCAGCAACTGGTGTTTCCAGGCTTAACCTCCACCCCATTCCTTAACCTGGTGACCCCCACCAGTGACTTCATTTCCAGTCTCAACCACTGCACGTAAGCAGAGGCCCGGCAGCTCTTGTGAGTCAGGAGGCAGGGTCCCTCTGGCCCCTTCCCTAGCCCCTCCCCAAGCAACCAGCTGCAAGAGCATCTGACTCTGACTTTTCCAATCCTACAGACGCTGTTAAAAAACAAACCAGCAATACTGCAGGGAATGTAGTTCCTCATGTATTCAGAACCAGACAGGAGGTGGGGGCACCTGAACAACCCACTTAGCTCCCTGGGCACAGCCTCCTCCAGACCCAAGTGTCCTGGCACAGCTCTGTTGATGCCCCTTATCCTTAGATAGCCATGTCACTGGCTATTCTAGTCTTGTGCTTTGCACATTGTACTGCTGACCTGCAAGATCCACATTGTTCCCAAACCATTCCAGCATTATCTATTAGGTTTTGTTTTCAGTCTGAACATGGATGGTGTGAGTGCTCAATGGTGCACCTCACCCAGAGGGTCTGGTCCCTGCACAAAGGAGTTTACAAATGAAAT